GAGGGGCACATGGGGCTCATGGACGACGAGGAGGAGGACGAGATGGACGTCGGGGTGAGGGGGGTCAAGGGGGACACGGGGGTCTTGGGAGGCCCCTTCACACCGCACTCGGAATTCCTGTGACTCAGGGGAAGAGCCTCCGACTCCCCCGAGTCAACCGACGCCGCCACCTTCTTCAGCGTGGCGATGATGGCATCGAACTGATCTGTTAATATATTCCCATTTATCTTCAGGTTCTTAAGCACAGCAGAGTCGATGATATCTGCGAGGGAGGTTTCTAAACGCTGTATCAAATGGTTGTTATCATCTTCATTGAGAATCACCTTTTCATTATTTCGATTCTCCTCATATTCACTCGGACACTCTTTTTTCTCTGTCACTCTGAGCTTGTTATCCTCCGGCTCACCCGATATATGGACGACGGTGTTCTTCCTCACTTTGTCAGCAGTAGACTGACGGCTCCTTTCTTCCTTCTCGCTCAATGGGCCAGGTAAGGGCCGCTGAAGATTCCTTAGACCCTCATACCCTACCTGAGGTTTAGTGGCCGGCATTACCTCATCTTTGCCCGGCTGACTACCTGCCTCACCGCGGCTCTCTCGAACCCCTTCCCGCTCCGCCTCCTCGTCTAAGTCATATTTATCCTCCTCCTCCTCGTCCTCTTCATCGTCTTCATCCTCCTCCTCTTCACTACTGGAGGCTTCCACTTGAATTCCTTTCTCTTCCCTGGTTTTTGGTTCAGCCACTATGGCAACCTTGGTTATTTCCTTTTTATCACGAGTCACAGTTTCCGCCTCATTGTTTCCAGAGTGGATTCTCTGGCTGCTAGAATGGTCAGGGGGGCGTGATGAGACAGAGCGAAACGAGACATTAATGCCCGGTAAGGGTCGGTTCTCTTTTCCCTCATCTTCGACGCTGTCCTCGTTAGTGCGTATCCTCGTGTCATCCTTACTACGGAGCTCACACGTTGTCGGTTTGGGGAGAGGAGCTGGACGAGCTCGAGGGAGCTGGAGGCTGTACGATCTTCTGACAGACACGGGTGGCTTTTCCATTCTGTCGACTAATTGGCTGCTACTCATGGAATGCGTGTGGACGATTTTCACCTCGTGCACGGGATCTGCCTTGCACTGTTCCCTCTCCGAGACTGGCTTGTATACGTCCTTCTCGGCCCCCATATCCTTTTCTACAGGTGCAGGTTTTGTGATTGTGGTTTTCTGATCTGGTTCAGGACTGACGGCGGGGACTGGATCAGGTGTCCCTCTCGGTGGCGATGTAGGTGTGACTCTGTTGCTACTGCTTCCGATTTCCTTCTTTTTTATCACTCTCCTGTTCATCCTTGTGTCGAACTTGGACTGTCGAGAATTGAAGGAACCGGCCGTTTTGTGGAGGTTCTGAGAAGGGGAGGAATTGTGCCGCTTCCGTTCGCCGTCGAGCGAGCACTGGCTGCCGTACAGGGGGGAATTGCATCCCGAATCTGTGGTGCTCTCTGTCCTCTGGGAATCGAGACTCGCGCGGAATAGGTTGTTTCGAGAACCAAGGAGAGAGTTCTTGGAGCCTGATTTGCTGCGATTATACATGTTATGACGACCCACCACCAAAGACGTTTTCGAATTGGATTTCTTCTTACTGAGATTCGTTCGACTGCCACTCATGACCCTCCTGACGATCCTGGCCCTGCTTGCTCCATCGTTCGACACTAAAGAACTCTTCGGACCCGAGAACGTACGAGTTACGGCTGGTTTTGTGTTGATATTTGAAGAGCTGGCACTCAGGGTGTGATCCAGCCTCGTTTCACTCGACTTCGCGGCGTCAGTACTTCCGCGCCTGACAGGTGAGAGTCTCGAGGACGAAGCAGTTAGTCGATTATTTCCCGATCTTGCCAGTCCTGATAGTTTTTCCCCGTAAGAAGACGATTTGGGCAGCATAGACACCGAGCCAGTCCGGGCGGGCGGCACTCTGCTCGGCGGTTCTCTGTGTCGATCGGGTGTTGCATCACTGTCCGTGACCGCCGTCCCTGACACGCTGCTAAGGTTGAGGGACGTATCGCCGCCGCCGTTTGTGCTGTCTTTCGTTTCAGGAGATTCCGGGGAACTTACAGACAGCGAAAGGGACAGCGCTTTGGGCGGGGTGTCAAGTTTCAAAGAGCTGTGGCCCAGCTGACCCGCGCCCCTGTTACTCTCTTCATTACTCGCCTTGTCTCTGGGAGTTTCTTTTCCTCCACGGAGACTTGCTGTTGCTGCCCTGCCGCTCGCCGGGCGCGGCGGAAAGCTTCGATGGCTAGTCTGGGGAGGGTCGGCCTTGCCGCTTTTACTGGACATGACAGGGAGCTTAGAAGATGACTTTTCCTTGTGTGCCGACGCAGTGTCACGCCCGGAGGCGCCAGGGGAGATCCTCACCTGGTATACCGCCCGTGGTGGCGGGCGGCGGGCGAGGGGCGTCGCGGGTGGAGTTCGTGTGTCCCCTAAGGACTCCCGCCGTCGCGTCGACGTGGGAGTTCTCCCTG